CAGTCTTGATTCAAGTATTATTTGCCTCAAAAGCTCAATTCGTTTTCCACTTAGTTTAGATAAACAATAGGTCTGATAACACATTAAGTACACGGTTGTAGATTATTCTAGAAGATGTAGTGCATGAGAACACAAATGGGGACAATTGAATGTATTTCAATACAAAATCTAAGAACCAGGCAGTTAATAATTCATTCGCAAAATATCAATCATCTCAGACTTCATTGTTCTCTTATTTCTACACCAATCATTTTCTGTTCTTGTTCTCTTTTCTTTGATCTTCCTAATCTTCTACCACCAAGCATTTCACTTTCGACTAATGATACATACTACTTATATCTGTCGTCATCAGTAGCATCCACTTCAAAGTGATCAGTATTCAATGATCAATCCATCAGTTGTTTTCTTTTTCTTTATTCTACTTTATTGAAAAAAACTTACGTTTATCAAAATATATGACTACAGAGTTATATATAATAGTGTTTAGATATTGAATAGTGCCAATAAATTTAGACCAATATCTTTGTCTATTACATCATTTTATTCATTTGAAATTTAGCAACTTTGAATTTTTGATTGATTAATCTCTTAGATAATATTTTCATCAACAGGATAATAATAATGATAGTCGGTTCCCTAGTGATGGATATCACTAATGCAGGCTTGAATATTCTTTCAGATATGTTAACTATCTAGGAATACATTTAAGAATATTCATATTCCCGAAAAATGTAAATGCCAGGGAAACAGTTCCATTCTTTATGCTTGTCACACATATTCAACCTCTGTACTATCATTATTATTATTATTACAAATATCTACGAAGTGTGTTATTGAAATACAACCATTAAGCTGACTTAGTGTTGTTTTACTTGCATCATCCCGTTGTTATTTAGGACTGCAAATGATCAGTCTCATGTTGGCATATGTGCATCCGGTGCCGATAACCTTGATATAGCCTTAAGTTACAAGCAAAGATGGATAGTGGCTAGCAGTGAAAATCAGTTTGACGTACGTTCCGTCCTATTTGGGACTCGTCTGCTGAATGTACCTGCATCGCATAGTTGATGTCCTCTCCGGGATTCAAACCCAGTACCGTTTGCTTCAAACGCCATCAAAAGAATTTAAACTTAATCCCATTGCACATGCAGATGGTTATCAAGACTCAGTAGATAAGTGAATAACACGATGGAGTTTGAAGAGAACGATATTGGGTTCAAGTTGCCAAATACGACGAGACGCGCGTTAAACTGGATTCCACTGTTATCCACTATCCATCTTTATAACCATAAAGAGTTTACATTTAAAATACACTGATTAAGAAATGTAGAAAATCAGTAATCAGTTATTCATTAATTAACAGTGAAGTTATTTCAAGGATAAACTCAATCAATATTGTTATAATATTATAATATTAAACTAATCAGGGTGTCATTTATTACTTTAATAATCATGGCATAAATATCCAAGCTAAAAAGCAAAAAAGATTGTATATTCGCTCATAATTTTATTGATATTACTAATTAAGATTAATCGATTTAAATGATTTATATTGTTTAATATTATTGATTTAGTTACTTTTGCCTGTTACCCCTCATGAAGGAATATAAACCGCTCACCAGGGATTATATTGATTCATGTAAAGTCTTTTAATCAGAACATTTTAATTTAAATATTAGATTCACATTGTAATTATTTAATAGTTATTAATATGATTTGAATTGTTGGAACTAAAATGCTGTTCAAATAGTAGATTAAACTGATAAATCATAACTCTAGGAACCTCTCTCTGCTAGTTTTAATGCTCTTTATCATGTTAATTACATTTAAAAAATAGGAAATGCTTTTGATGTTCATTAAAATACTCTTTTTAGACTTGTCGGCTACCATGAGATTGTATCTTCTGACGTTTCTCCACTGCTTTGTGGATCAGATCTTTAGGTCGAAAGCTCCGAGTATGGCCTCCCAACATAACCACCAACTTCGGTCTGGGTACCCGGGCGGTATCACAGCTCACACACAAATCAAGTGACATATGTAGTGCATTGATGCATTATTACCGAAAAAAATATGAATTTTGTTAATACAAACAGTTGGACTGTACACATCATTCATATTTTTAGATATTTATTCTCTCTTCACTTTAGAAATGTAAATTTCATTCAACAGATCCGAACATCATGTTGTGTTATACTCACATAATGAAACTTATATAATGGTTTCAGAATTTTGTGATCTGATGAGCCCAATATGATTTGAACACGCAGCGTTTTGTTATGGAGTCAGATCTCGGGTCACTTAAATATAATATTCCACCTTGATTTTGAACAGAATATTTAAAAGAAAATCTGGTAAACCAGTAACACTACCAGTTCTTCAACTATTGAAAACTTGGTTTACACTAATAGTCATTGGAAAAAACTTTTGCATGTTCCTTACTCCTCAGTTAATATGGTCCTATTCAAAAATTCACTTTTCTTAAACTATGACTGTACAGTACTTGATTTGTTCTACAAAATAAATTTGTTCACATATTATACCCATTTTCGGTGGACGTTTTATTGTTTGGTTCATGACTTGTGCACCCAAATTCAAAAAAAGATCAGTTGTTCTCTTGAGTGGAATGATATAACCGGACGATACTGAGAGTTTTAAAGTAACTGTAACCTCTGTCAAATTATGGTGAATGTATCTTCCTCATAATTGGAAGTGCCTATACTACTAAGAACATCAAAGTAATCTTTTCTTCAATACAATACAAATATTTCTATTCATAATGAAAATTGGTATTCTAATATGAATAATCTGTCTAAAAAAACATAAACTAATACAAACGATGAACTGGAAAAAAAACTTACGATTTTGCCTACTTTTAAATTATAAGTAGTATAACTAATAATCCGCTTGCAGCTTTCTAAAGTTACTGCCGGTCCCAAGCCCACACAAAGGACGAGGGTTGAGTATGGAATAAACAACCCCGTCCCATAGAAAACAACCTTGCTATAATAACGTTAACCAGATTAAACAAGATAACCCACTTAAACTCTGTCCTAGGAGTATAAAGATCTTCTCTCTGAAGCACTATTATGCCTCATGATAAAGGTCGAGATTCTTCAGAAATCACATGGATGATACACCTTGTAACAACCAGAACAACCATGATAGTAGATACATAGAATGTCCAGAAAATGTAGGAGACTGGAAGGACCAGTCAAATAGCTACACAAATTAGGAGATACAACTTATGTTTGGGACAGATGCTGCTGTACTCCGATCACTAGGAGGAAAGTGCCCTACACACCCAAGGAGTTGCTCTGATTCTGTTCAATGAAGAACGTTAATCACTTATAGGATGGGAATCTCATGGATCCAGTTTCATCAAAGCAGCATTCAAAACAAAGAAGGAGGGAACCACAATGAATGTTATCTAATGTTATGCGCCCACCAATGATAGCAATGGCGACGATTAAGGTCAGATCTATGAGAGGTTACAATAAGTCATTGGTGAAGTGCACAGAAGAGGACCTTACAATCCTAATGGGAGATCTAAACGCCAAAGTTGGAATAGACAACAATGGATATGAAGATATCGTGGAACAACATGGACTGACTGAGAGAAAAGAACGAGAATGGTGATAGATTTGAAAATATATGTCCATTCAACAAATTGGTTAAAGAATGCACAATATTCACATACACATTCATAAACAAAGCTACATGGGTCTCACCGGGTCATACCACAAAGAACTAGATAGATCATATTTGCATCAATGAAAAATTCAGAGGGATAATCGAAGACATGAGAAGCACGAGAATTAGGTTGATAGGGACAGTTAAACCAGAACATGGTACAAAACATTGCACGACATAACTCAGAGTCGTTCATATTAACACAGATGTATTCATTCTTTAGATTGCAAATAGACACTACATCTGACGTAACAATTCTCTCTCGAAAATATTGGATCAGAATGGGAAGACCACACACTATGCCAACAACACAGAAACTTTGAACTGCATGCGGTAATTATCTACGTTTGTTGGGACAACTAGATTGTAAAGTTTCTTTTCACATTTACCGAGGTATGTTACATTACATCAGCTGATCTTAATGTACTTGGTTTAGACTGGTTTGACCGGCTGCATTTAGCTGACGTTCCGTTAAGCACCGTATGACGTCTGGTGAAACAACCTCATGAACCTGAAGCATATTGGAAAGGGGGGCTGGGACGCATCAATGGCTAGCTTATTGGTCTTTGGTCACCGAGTCTTGTTTCTCGTTCGCAGATTAAATGAACTTGTGATAGCTCCAACTCTAGCACATTTCGAACCATATTCTTAACATTCAATCTATTTTATCATGACTTTTTCATCTTGTTCTGCTGTTATGATACAGTAATTAGAGCTATCACATATTTATCTCAATACTTATCCCAATTGAGTCACACGGCAATCCCTTACATGAAATCCAAAAAAAAAAAGGAGGACCAAAGAACACATTACGTCGAGAAATGGAGACAGATATGAGAAGAATGAACAAAAATTAGATAGCACTGGAAAAGAAGGCCCAGAACAGAGTAAATTGGAGAATGTTGGTCAGCGGTCTATGCTCCATCAAGAGTAACAGGCATAACTAAGTAATTAATTAAATCTATCAAGCATCCTTAAACACATCTTATTCATTAAATAATGATAATAAATCTATGACAAAGATGACTACAGTATTTCATTTTATTACAAAGTATAATCAAATATTCATTAACTTAAATGAAATTAAACCATCACCTATTACATGAAAACAATATCTTTGTTATAGTTATTACGTAACAAATTGAAATATCCATCAATCTCTATCAGTGATTACATTTTGGATAAACAAACAAACGGAAAAAAGGAGAGAGAAACAAAAGAAATGGACTTATCTAAACAATACCTAAGAAGTTTTAACATGTGATGGAACTAATGAAATTTTATAATATGATCTATACAAAGGTGCTAACCTTCGTGAAAATGTTCTACTTGAAATTTTTTCCTCTTCAACATCATTAACATTATTATCAGTAGTAGTTATAGTAGTCATTGTAGTAGTAGTAGCAGTAGTAGTAGTAGTATTGTTCTTTTCTCTAGATTGATTAATTATTCTTGATTGATTATTCATTGATTGTATATAACTTGGTTTCGGTGGTATTGATGGGGTATAAGAAGAAGTTTGTTTGATTGAATAATGACTAGATGTTTTTGTTTGAGATTCCTATAAGAATCAATGAAAAAAAGCGGAAAAAAATTATAATCATCATTACAATGCAGAGATCAACTAGAAACTAAAAGAAAAAAAACAATTTTTTTGTCACACAAAATGTTTGTACAACCTCATGATGATGTACCATAATGTTTAATATGGTTAATTTAATGTTTCTCAATTTTTTTTTATTTTTCATTCATAATTTGCTTTTTTTTAGCAAATTAGTTTTCTGCGGGATAATGTTCCCTAAATCCATACCCAATCCTTCTCTTTGTCCAATCTTGTGATTGACAGTAGCCTCACAGGGGGTTCCAGCCCTCACTTGGAATCCTCATGGCCAAGGAAGAAGAAGATCTAAGAGCACATTATTTCGAGAAATGGAGACAGATATGAAAAGAATGAACAAAAAATGGATAGAACTGGAAAGGAAGGCCCAGGCGAGAGTGACTTGGAAAATGCTGGTTGGCGATCTACGCTCCTTTAAAAGTAACAGGCGTAAATAAGTAAGTAAAGTAGGTTTTTTCCTAAATTCTCACCACTTTATTTCTTTTCATCAGTTTTAATAATGTGGTATCATTAATAGTAATATTTTCATTTGCTTAACTTCCTACTTAATCATACACAAAGAGTTACTGTAACAAGTCGATCACATAGTCTTGTCTATAGATTTAGTTTTCCATAAGTTGAATAACTAACGAATAACCGTTTTGCAGAAAATATTAAAATACATTGTTAAATTATTCAACCATGGTGCTGTTTTTATACTCAATTATAAAATGTATGCATTTGTGTAGCATATTGATGGAGTATTGATTTAAAAGAGAGCATAGCTTTTCACTTATTATGAAACAATCAATGTATTTGGTGAAAGTGATCGTACGATCAGTGATTTCGTGTAATCCCTAATAGTGATGGATTGTGGTACACTTTTGTAGATTAGTTGAAGTTAGACATTAACACTAGTGAATGCCGGACCGGTGGTCTAGAGGTTAAGCGTCCGAACGCGAGACCGGAGGTCCTTGATTCGAATCCTGTGAGTGAGATCGTAGTTGCGCACTCCTGAAGTGTCCCAGGCTAGAACAAAAACGGCCATCCGATGCTTTCAGATTTTTCATGGTGGTCTAGTTTTAATTGATTCATGAACTCAACCATTAAACTCCTAATAGTTTCATGTAATTTGTGTAAATATCTTCTTCGGGAGAACTAATTCATCGACTGATTTCATAAATGTTTTGAATTTCTTTGTGAAGATCTATGTGTTCCTATTTCGAACATCAACGATTTGGAAGTAAATCACTGTTGCAGAATATACTCTTTGTCACACTTCAACCAATTCTTGGTTTTACCGTAAGATGAAAAACAATCATTTTTATTTACTTTTTCAAGTCCTACATAGAGACTTGACGTTTACACCATCAGTGACTTAACATCTAAACATCTCGCTTGTTAAGATTCAGTTAAAGCATAAAAATATTACTAAATTATTTTGACAAAAAAGCATTTATTTAATATGAAAATAGATTAAGGAAATACATTTGACAATGAGTTAATATTCATTTCAAGTAACAGGAATTTAGTCGAGCTTATGTCATAGCTATCATACTTTCGCGACCATTAGAAAATAAATTGCAGATGATTGGAGGTAGTCAGCAGGAAACCGCAGAAATACATTTCATGCTAGTTAGCACATATCAACAATTCGTACCCGTAATTTAGGGAGAAATAATACTACCCTAAGGATGCTGTTTTGAATTCACCAGGAAAAACTAGTTCCGTGAAATTCTAAGATGTACCTTACTGACAAGTACGAGAAAGTTGAACAGGGATTCTTGTTGACTGCCTTGAAACATTTAATATCTCAACAGAGTATACAAATGTTGACATTACTCAGACTAGTGTTCACATTATAACTTGATTAACAAAATTCCATCAGTACTGAACATAAGCGACATTAGTCACTAACCTGTGATCAATCGATTTTAAACGTTAGATAACTCATAATATGTCTCTTGAATCTTATTCCGAACCATTGATCGTTGATTATAAAAACTTGCATAACTAGGTCGCAGTGTAGTAGGTTATAGATTCCAGATAACAATTATGAATATAACATAAACTGAATGTTTATGGTATTTAGCTAGATTCAATAAAATGCATTCTCATTCAAGTAGAGAATATGAAACTGAGATGACACTCTATCAAAAACTGGCTAACTTCTTATTACCTACAATACTTTAAATAGTGTTGTTGATTACATTGAATCGGATAGTTTAGTTAAAAACCTATCATAATCATTATGGATAACATCATCAACGCTTTATTTATGTAGAAGTAAGTTAATTGTTTATTCTATCAGATTTAATTCGATTTATTCTGATGACTTTGTTTGTAATGCATTATTTCGAATTGAAATGAATATTATCAGAGATCAATGAAACAAATGAGTGAAATTGAATATAAGATTTAAAGAAGACAATCAAACACAAACAAGTTCATCATAGTAAACTAATTTAACACTTTCTGAATAACTAAAATGTTCATTTCTAGATGAAGTACACTCTAATCATATTAACCGGGAGAATAATAAAAAGTTAAGTCATTAAATTAATAAACTCAAAGTTTTATTTTATATTTTATTTAAACACATCAACATTGGTACAAGGAGGCACCAAATAGATATGCAACACATAAGTCATCCGATTTGTGTGAGGGCTGGGATAATGTCCGAAACCGAAACAGGTAGTTTTCTTAGGGGGCCACACTTGGAGGCTTCAACATAAAGATCTGATCCACAAGGAAATGGAGCAACGTAAGAAGATGTAGTCCCACGTTAGGCAGTCAACAATAATTGATTCATATGCCGCATGTTGTCTCAGGATACTGAAGTCCATGTACACCATTGGTTTGAAGTCAGGAATTTCCAACTCATCTAGGTGAACCCTCCATGTCCACCAATCCGGTTAAAGCACCGGACATTTGCTTTCCGTTCTCTCAATTTCGTGAACAATATCCCGGCAGCTAGACGGCAATGAATAGGACTTCCCTGGAAGTGGTTGTATGCATGTGGCCATATGAGAGCATTTCGTGAGTGATAGCCGACTCTCTGCACTCTCGACCGTACAAGGTCATTTGGGGGCTATAAACTCAAAGAATTCAAGTATATTTAAAGTGGACCCCTAAGTTACGTATCTTGTTCATTAGCTTGTTTAGTTCATTTTTCTCCTTAATTTTCAATAAACACTTAGCAAACACTCAACCATTTAAATTTAAGAATTAATATCAATGTGGGGATTTATTAAGACCGTAGTATTTTCACAGTTAAATTCACTAATTAATCTAATATAGACCATCATTGAAGACCAAGAACCATTAAATGGCAATAAATACTTCAAAATAAACATTATATTTGTATATAAACATGGATTGTGGCTAGCACATAATACTTATGACTTAAGACTATATATAGGTGATACGCACAGTATGCACATGTACACAATGAGTGACTGATCAATTGCAATCCAAAACATCAATGAGAATATTCAAACAAACAATACCAAATGAGTTTGTATGTATGATTATCAAGGTTTGATTTGATAATTTCGAATAAATTGAGTATTGGGTAGATTGTTACAAATATATTATTTATTAATACCAAATGAATTTAAACTTCCCCTCATTACACAAACAAGTGGCTATCAGGACTCAATAGCTAAATGGATGACGTGATGGCGTTTGAAGCGAAAGGTACTTTATTCGAGTCCCATAGTAACACATCTACTCTTGAATGCAGATATATCCAACTGACCAGTCCTAAATAAGATGAAACTTGCGTTAAACTGGATTCCACTACTATTCCACCACTATAAATCTTTGTTTAGAATGCTTGTGAATTAAGGCTATATAGAGGCAATACGCATATGATGCACATATATGAATAGGAAACTGATCAATTGCAGTCCTGAACATCAATAGAAAGTTTCAAATGAAGAATATCAGGTAAATTTAAACATTATATTTAATGATCAATGAACATTTTCATGAATGAAGTAGAAAGTATATCCAACATATTACTTACTCACACATTCTTCCTCTTTAATGTGTTACATCAACCTAAAGCTTAAATCATGTGAAACTCATTAACATTCAAGTTAAGATAAAAGTTCTTATGAAACTCTTTTCATTAGTTTCTATTCATGTTAATATATATTTTCAATCTAGAAATATTTGAAATTTTTTTTAATGACCTGGTATGGCCGAGAGTGGGATGTGCCCGCCCATCCTCTCAAAATGCTCTCACACGGCCTCGCGTATACAGCCTCTGCCAGGGAAGTCCTACTCACTGCCTACTCGTATTGGGGGTGTTGTTTACGAAAATGAGAGGACGAAAAGCGAATGTCCGGTGCTTTCACCGGATTCCAAACCAATGGTGCACATGGGCTCCGGTATCCTGAAGGAACAAATGGCCTATGAACCAATCGTTGGTTACCTGCTACTATAGGATTGCATCTCCTCACGATGCTCCACTGCCTTGTGGGCAGACATTTATGTCAAAGGCTCAGGGTGTGGCACCCTAAGAAAACCACCCGCTTCGATTTGGACAGCCGAGCAGTATCACAGCCCACACACAGACAAATATGGTGTGGTGCATATATATTTGGTGTCTCTTTGTACCAATATTTACGTGTTCAAATAAGTAATAAATAAATAGCTTTTTAAAAATAACTTACTAGTTTTTTATTATTTTCATTATTTCCAATAGTGATTAAATGATCTTGACTAAATGTAACAGATTTCGGATATTCTTTACTTATCATATTATCATTATTATTATTATCATTATTCATAGTTGATTCAATTAAATAATCTGTTCTATTAGTTAATAAAGCTAATGAATCACCTAATTTATATGCACCAACACCGGTAGCTGCAAGATATGCAGCAGTACTACCAGCTGTTCTATTCATTTGACTATTATTAACATTCATATTAGTAGTATTAGTAGTAGTATGAATTGTTTTTCTTAGATTATTATTATTATTATTATTTATTTGATTATAATAAGAAGATGAATCAATTAGAGGATTAAATGTTTGATATACATTTCTATTAGATGATTTTGTTAAATAAGCTAATGAATTTGATGTTGATAATGATAATGGTAACATGGATTGATCATTTATTAAATGATATTTGAATGAATTATGTAATGGTTCATGATATGATGATTGTGTTTTATGAATTAATTCATTTGTACTAATAGATGAGGATAAATTTTGATTCAAATTTATTGATTTTGTTGCTTTAGCTAATGATAATTTATTATTAGATATATCTAATATATTTTGATTATATGATGATAAAGTTTGTGCCATCATACTATCTGATTTATTATAATAATGACTCTGTGTATGAATCATAGGGGTAACATTAGAATAATTTAATTTCTTATTAGATAATGGATAATAACCATTATTATATAATAAATCATTTGATATAGATTCTTTCTTATTCAATGTTATATCTATATGATCCATATCATCTATTTGTTTTATATTAGATATATTCATATCTATTGGATCTAATATAATATTATTAATATCAGGATTAATATTATTTTGATAATTAGGTTTATCTTCTATTGAATTTGGTATTGTATAATACCAATCTCTTGGTTGTGGAGATAAATCTTTAATTGATTTCATTTTATTCAATGTAAATTGTCTTGATATATGCTGTGAAGTATTATTTCTAGATAATGATGGATCATTTGAATTTGATTGAGTTAATTTAGGATAAATTATAATATTTTTACGTGATTCTGTATAATGTTTCATTGATTTAATATTTAATGGTATTTCATAATTACTGGATGAATATAATGATGATGATAATGGTGGTAATGTATCATTTATTGTATTAGGTATTGTAGTTATATTACATGCATATGGATAATAAATAGATGATTTTGATGAATTTATATTTTCTATACGATTAGATAATAATGTTTGAGATTTATTTGGTATTTTTGTTGTTAAACTATTTAAACTTGTTGTCGTTGTTATTGTTTCGGTCATTGTTGTTATAGATTTATTTTGATTCAAATATAATGATTTTGATTGATTCATTAATGATTGTTTTGTAATTTCTATGTTAGATGAATGATTATTTATTGATTCAATTGAATATTGATTATCAGGATTAATTATAGTTTGTTTATATTGTGATTTAATTGGATTCGTTTCAATTTGTTGAGTAGTCGTTAAATTTATTGATGGTTTTTTGATTGTAGGAATAAATTTAATCTCTGCTTCTTCATAATGATTTGAATAAGGATTTACTATAGATATAGTAGAAATTGGACTATATGAATCATCTTTGATAATATTTTCAGAATTTATACTTACATATTGTTTTGTATTGAATTGTTCATTGGATAAATTATTTAATGTTTCACTATTATTATTATTATTATTGTTTGTTTTTGGATTGATTGAAGTGATTGGATTAGGTTCATCTTCAGTACTCCTGACAGATTTTATTCCATTCGCTCCAAGCCAATTACCAACTTTCATTTTTTGATACATATCTGAATTATTAGTTTGTTTTAATGCATCATTAACAAATTCATTATTCTCATTCACATCATCATCATCATCTTCATCAGCTGATTTTAATGGTGATGAAGATAATGTATTCACTGAACCAGTACAATAACCATTTACACCACCATCACCACCACCACTACCGACACCATTCATATTATTTAAATTTACATCAATTTGTAATGGTTGCTCTGTGGCTTCAGCATTTGCTTCAACACCGGAACTAATTGAATCAATATTATTATTATCATTATCTATATTTGATTGTATTAAATTCATTATATTTGTTATATTCATTTGTTCTGTTTTATTATTATTTTGTTGTTTTTCATTATTTATTAAATTAATTTCATTAATTGTATCATTATTATTTGAATATAATTCATTGTTAGATTTCTTTTGATTAGATAATAAAACATCCTTAGCAACAATATTATTGATTTCATTAGAATTTTTAGGAATATCAGGAATATTGATTAAATTCGGTGTAGATAAACTACTTTTATGTTTATGTTGTTGTTGTTGTTGTTGATGATCTTGTACTGTTTGTAATTGTTGTTTTATTCCTCCATTGAATTGATCAATTAATCGTTTATTCATAAAAAGATTATCATTTAAATCATCTAATTCATTATTATTTCTACGTGTTTCTACTATAAAATAAAAAAAAATAATTAATGAATGTAGATAACACTCATTTCATTAATGAAAATGATTCAATAAAGTAAGATAATTAATGACTGAAAAATAAAAAAAAGAAAACTAATTTCAAATGAAGTTTTGTCTATTATAATATAAGAAATAAACTCTAATTCATTTTTAGAAGAGGTTTTGTGGAGATTTATGAAAATTTCAATAGTTGAAATCATTATTCAATTGAAGATAGATAACTATAGAAAACCTGGAAGCACTGGACGGCCGTTTCGTCCCCAAATGGAACTCCTCAACAGTGTGCATTCACGAACCCATACTCTGAGAGATTTGAACCCAGGACCTATCAGTTTCGCAAGCGAACGCCTAACCACCAGGCCACTGAGCAGGCATTCGGCAAAGTTAATGCCTAACTTCAACTAATCCACGAAAATGATCGACACATCCACCACTGTCACCAGTGAGTTACTATCTCACAGCAGACTCGGTTGAACTACACTGGTCACTGTTTCGCACTAGAACTTCAGGAAATACCTCCTGAAGCCAGCCACTAGTGAGTATATGCTGATTAGTATCAGAAAGTAGTTTTGTGGATATCATAGTGATTTCAATAGTTCAGATCATGAGATCGTTAGGTCTAGGGTTCGAATCCCGCTAGACGGAATCGTGGATGCACACTGCTGAGGGGACTCGTAACAGAACGAAACGGCCATCCATTGCTTCCAGGTTTTTCATGGTGGTGTAGCTTTAATTGACTCATTATCTCAACTATTTAAATTGTTATAATATCTAGAAAAACCCCTACTGATTCAAGTGGAGAATAATTAAATAATCTGGATAGAACTGATTGGCTAGTAGGTTATTAAACTTATATAATTTGATTAAAGTTCCTAACTACGAATCTACTGTTAAGACTTGTTGCTTCTTATGTAATCATGTAATTTTTTCGAATAGTGACGGATAACTTCTAGTCTGTTAATGTATGATAATTAAAAAAAAATCATTAATCATGTTTCTTAAATAACGCCAATTTTTCTACATAAATTTCTTCTTTTGTTTATCATGAACTTACAAGAACTTCTATGATGATCTAAACCTTTCATTAATCGATTCATCCGTGAACTATCTTGAAGATTTTCATTACTATCCACATATTTACGATCCAAATCATTTTGACTTTGTGAATGTCGTTTATCATGAACACTCCTAAAAATTATATAATTAGAGTAGACTAATGGATATCCAATATGACAAATGAAAATGATTCAATATCAACATGAGATAACATGTATCTGAATTCAAAAATAGATATTTATTCTTAATTCAGATATAAATGTCTCTCTTTTTCTAGTTATAAGTATGTATTATTAGTGTTCGAAATTTATTTGCTGTATTCAAGTATCAATTCATGTCCTATTTATCGATATTATGGTGCATGCTCGTTGACAGCTCGGAATCAACTGTACGATTTTAACTTTGCAGATGACCTGGCTATTCCATCCCATACACACGAACAAATGCGGATGGAGAAAACTAATGTAGCAGCAGTCTCTACAGAAATAGGCCTCAACATACACAAGGGGAAAAGAAAGACCCTTAAATACAACATGAAGAACACCAAATACAACCACACTTAATGGAGAAGCTCTGGAAGAAGTGGGATCTTTCACGAACCTGTGAAGTATCATCGATGAACAAGAAGGATCTGATGCACACGTAAAGGCAGTGATTAACTAAGCAAGGACAGCATTCCTACAGTTGAAGAACATTTGAAACTCAAAACAACTGTCAACCAATATCAAAGTCACAATTCTCAATACGAACGTCAAGACAATCCTACTGTACGTAGTTGAAACTTCAAGAACAACCATCATAAAAAAGGTAAGAGTATTTATGAACAGTTTTTGACGCAAGAGACTCAGTGTCTGTTGGATGGAAATCATCAGCAACATCTTATTGTAGGAGAGAACAAACCAGGTTCCAGGTGAACAGAAATTTAGTAAAACACGATGGAAGTGGGTAGAACATACACTTCGGAAATCACAAGACAAGCTCTCACCTGGAATCCTGAGCTGAAATAGAAAAGAGGAAAGCTCAAGAACACACTACGTTTGTAATCTGAAGCAAACATCAAAAGGATGAATAGTAAATGGGAAGAACTGGAAAGAATTACCAGCACAGAGTTGGATGGAAATTGCTTTTAGGGTATCAGGTGTAAGTAATTTGGTTCATTAGCTGATATTATCCTGTCATCGGAAGTTAGCTAACCGCAACATTCTTCTCAGTTCCACTTAACTAGTGTTGTAGTAAACAAGAACACAGTGGTTGGACAAACGGATGCATTACAACCCAGAATTACAGAGCGGGTTACCAAAATCTGAGAACCATACAGTAAATACTTAGTTTGAAAAATATTAATCAATTGTCTCAAACTTGACCGTTCCTTTTATAAATATCAGTCAATCGTCTCAGACTTTACTGTTCCTGAATTTCCATACTATTTGTTTCGTGTTTCCGTTGTTTCCTGCTTGATCTTCTCAATCTCCTGCTGCCAGACATTATATTTCTCACTCAAGTCATATACTACTTATGTCGATATTAGTAGCACACCGCTGTGTCAATAGGAGTTAGATATCAATAATTAATCTATCGAATGATATTTACTCAACACCATGCATGTAATTGATGGTAAAGATGAACGAAGAGTGAACAATAAAACATTTGGTTGAAGTAACTAAAATTTAAAAAAACTTTAAGTGACTGAAGGTGAACGACAGGAATCACTCTTTCAACTGAATTTGTTACTGTGTGCCAATCATTCTCATGGAGTACTTGTAGTCCTCTAGAATAATTGAGATTACATACATGTCACTCAGATTTAAACTTTAAATCAGTTTGCTCAAGAATGCACGTTTTAATTGCTAGCATGCAGTGTCGGTCAAGAAGAGTTTTCTGCCGGCTACCTTCAATCGTCTAATACCACAGAATAGTGTTAATTCATTTAGAGTAGTGATCATATTATAAATTATCTGATAGAATTATATCAGTTCTCAAGAATTAGATAAACATAACATCAATTACTACTCAATTATTCAAGAAGAAGAATTAAACCGGATTTCATATATATATAAGTCATTCCTTTATTATTGTGTATTTTTCTCTGAGTTCGATGAATCAAGAATAAATCGGTCATACATGATCAGTTGAATATTCTTCTCTCTATACTTCCCAATCTGTCAGGTTATAGATCAGTGTTAGAACAATATCTTCACTCTACTATCAACACCTTTTAAGTGTAACTCAAACTTAAATTGTACAAATCTTAAGATTGTTCTAAGTAACGCAACACATCGTGGGTTGTAAATTAGATTGAAACAGCACACTCACCCTTCACAGACTAGTGAACAGATAGATAAAGGATGTAACATTAAAAAACACTTCATCTTTATTAAACAAACATACTTTTTACTTTGATAATCGTATGAATCTGTTATAAATTAATTTTGGAAACTTACTTGGCCAAATTCAATAAACTTCTACTTCTGATCAATAAAAAAGAGAAATAATAAAGAGAAAACATGAAAGAAATCGAGTTATTTTATACAAAGAGTAAAACCATTTTTTGAAAAGAAATATGTTAAAATCATTGATTTTATAGGAGGTAAAAAAGAAACCGGTTTATTGAGGTAAATAATTTTGTTTATATTAATTAAAATTTATTGAATTGAATACAACATACAACTTATAGATGAAGCTAATTTGTGATATGTCAAATGCCCTAATGTACTATCTATTCCATAGTGATTTATTATATCGGATGAGGATACTAAGCATGTGTGGATTGATTGATTGATAGATAGATAGGTAGATAGATAGGTAGATAGATAGAATGATAGATAGATAGATGGATAGATGTGTGGATAGACAGATAGATAGATAGATAGATAGATAGATAGATAGATAGATAGATAGATAGATAGATAGATAGATAGATAGATAGATAGATAGATAGTATGATTCATGATTTCAACTATTGAAATTACTAAAATCTCCACAAAACGCCTTCTGATAATGTAAAGTATTGTTCATGTTTAGTTTGTGTTATATTTCTCTTCCATTATCGAATTCTAAAAGCACCCCATCACCCATACATGTCAACTCACTTGATCCTCTTAAATTATGTGAACTCTTCACATTCTATTCAATTATTACGTAATCCAGCTTATCAGTATTGAATTTCATGAATCCTTCATTATTTCTAAAAATTATCACACAATTTATCTTATCTGTCTCTACGAACTGTACTCAACTAATACACCACGCATCCTTAATGTTTCATTGATTCTAACATCTAATAACTTCTGACCTGTTCATGCACATACAAATATCTATATATATCTAGTTATCATTGATAATCATAAATATGTTGAAAAGATAAAACACCTAAGCAACTAAAAATTATTTTTTTCTTTGTTTTTTTTCTATTTTTGAAAGAAAAAATGAATAAATAAACAAATAAGTAGTGAGAAGCAGTGACCAGTGTAGTTCAACAAGTTCAGTTATGAGATAGGAACTCACTGATGACAATGATGGATGTGTCGCTTAATTTCGTGGTTTAGTTGAAGTTAGACATTAACACCGTTGGATGCCAGCCAGCTCAGTGGTCTAGTTGGTTAAGCGCCTGACGCGAGGCCGTTAGGTCCTGGGTTCGGATCCCGTGAGGCGGGTTTTAGGATGCGCACTGTTAAGGATTTCCTTTCGAGGACAATACGGCCGTTCAGTGCTTCCAGGTTTTACATGATGTTCTGGCTTCAATTAACTCATGATCTCAAATGTTGAAATTACTACAATCTGCACAAAACCCATTCTGATACAAATAAGTAAAACATAAAATTGTTTAACAATCTAAGTAGTTGAAATGGTGAATCAATTGAAGCTAGACCACCATGGAAAACCTGGAAGCACTTAACGGACGTTTCATCCTAGTATGGCACTTCTCAGCAGTGTTTTCCGGTCTAGCTTCAATTGATTCATGAATTCAACTATTGAAATTTTAAAAACCTCCACAAAGCCCCTTCTGATGATAATCATCTGCTCACTAGTAACTGACTTCAAGAGGTATTTCCTGAAGTTCTAGTGAGAAGACGTAACCAGCTCACTGAAGACAATTATATACGGTGGCGCAGTTTCGTGGATTAGCAGACATTAGACACTAACAGAGTTTTATGCCTCTGGGTTCAGTGGTCTAGTGGTTAGGCATTCGCATGCGAGACTGATCGATGATGGGTTCGAATCTCACGGGGTACGGGATCGTCGACGCACATCGCTAAAGAGTCCAATACTAGGACGAAACGATCGTCTAGTACTTCAACGTTTTCCATGGTGATCTAGCTTTAATTGATTCATCATTTCAACTATAAAAATTTCTAAAATCTAAATCAATATTAATAATAATCATAATCATAATTAAGGTAAAAAACATAAAATAAGTATTAAATTACATTATATCTTTTTTGGGTGTGGTCTTTCATTAAATATTAGGGGAAAAAATTGAATTAGGAATATTATTGTCTTATATAGAAATTATGAATGGAAAGTTCTTTTTTTGGAGGGGGGGCGGGGAATGAATTGTTCATTAATCAATAAATTAGTGTCATTTGTTGTTGTTTCTTTTTCGGTTGTTTTATTATTTGTTTTTTTTTCTATATAATTAACTTTTATTTAATGTATGTTTAATTTTATTATCATTATCATTACCACTATTATTATTATTATTACCAATACTATTATTATCATTACTATTATCACTGTTATATCCCGATGAGAATAATGAATGGTAACTGTTGGGATCCATTTATGAGCCATTACTAAACGTATACTTTTATCATATAATTGTTAAGTAACTAAACTATACATATTCATATCCCTCTTATTATGGGCTTTATTTTGATTCATAAACTATTATTATACGATTTATCTATCAATTACTATCTCTCACATTCACGGCCACTTTCGGCTATATCTTGTACAAATGTTATTTCCTATTTCATGGTACCATGTGATCTGTTTGGTTGGTATATAAACCTAATATGTTTGAGTTAAATGATCTCGTGGAGGCTGTGATCAATGTTCTGTATTCATCAGTCATGAGAGAAGGACTGATAAGTACTCTAGACTGCTTGTACGTTCATTGTTCTCCAATTGGTGTTATCATCACGTTATACATTAATAGGACACAAGGGACAAGTTATAACAGTTACTATCATTATCATTGCTATTATCATTATTTATAAGAATATTCGTCAAGATTAGAACGAATAGTTTGATAGAAATTGAGCACTACGTATAGAGAAGACAGTGATGATATTTATGTTGATTATTACCCTGAAGAAGTCCAGATAACTTAGCTGGACGAAACTGTTGAAACTATTTAAATTTCAATCACTAGGATTATTTTGAATATAATTTTCATATAAAATATGACCATTATTACTACTATTATCATTACCTTTATCATTACGATTACTACTACTATTATTATTATTATCTGAACCCACAGATTGATTCAGTAGGCTTTTGTAAATAGACTAATTTACATTCAATAAGTAAATATTTTATTGGATACAAATCCATTACAATTAGTTTTAACATTATAGTTGTACATTATATTGTATCCAATAAATTATAAGCTTTATACATAAACAAATGTATGGATATATAAATTGATATAAGGTTATGTATATGTTATGTATACACTATCAATGCCTACCTAGAAGAAGGATGGATTTGTCTATTTTGTTTGTTTGATGTTATTATAAGTAGATTGGAAGAAATCTAGAAATTATCAAACTAAATCACAATATCAATCTTTCAAGTTATTGAAACACTGGTAGATTTAGAACTATTTGTCTACCTTTTTGAATGATTATTCTAATCAATAATTGGAGAAATTTGTCAACTTGAATTATAATCTATTGCAATGGCATAGATGTATCCATTCGTTCTTACCTTTTAGATTTTACTAATACTGATACTATTTATACTACTCTGACATTTGTTTTGATAATCTTATCTTATTATGCTGACATGATGTGACAAGCTCAAACAATTAATGTGTTTAACAGTTGATACGTTTATTATAAATAACTAGTTATTTGTAAACAGAAATAGATGGTGGTTAACAGACGAATTCATATTTAAGGCACATTAACTTAATATATGTACACTTTAGATTTAGTGTTCACTCCAAAACTCGAACCTATTCATCTCTAATTATAATGATTTTGACATAAGTCAATATTCAGGTAATTAGAACAGAATGGACATATACACAATAAATGACTGATCAACTATACTCATAAATGTCAATGAGGAATTTCAAACAATCAATATAAAAATAAATGAATCAATTGTTTGTTCATTATTACGATGTCTGAAATTGCTAGTTAAACAAATTCTGATCTCTTTTATTAAAGAAAAAATGGTTGAAATCATGAGTCAGTTGAAGCTAGACCACCATTGAGAACCTGGAAGCACTGGACGGCCGTTTCGTCCTGGTATGGGACTCCTCCACAGTGCGCATCCACGATCCCGCACCACGCGAGGCTCGAACCCAGGATCTACTGGCTTCGCGCGCGAGCACTTAACCACTAGACCACTGAGCCGGCAACCAGTGGAGTTCAACCGGTCTGTTGTGAGATAACAACCCACTGAAGACAATGGTGTACGGTGGGGCAACTTCGTGGATTGGTTGAAGTTAGATATTAACACCGTTGCATGGCAGGTCAGTGGTCTAATGGTGAAGTAGGTCCTGGGTTCAAATCCTGCGGGGTGTGGGATCGTGGATCCACACTGCTGAGGAGTCCCATACTAGGATGAAACGACCGTCCAGTGCTTCCAGGTTTTCCATGGTGGTGTAGCTTCAATTTACTCATGATTTCAACCTGTGAAATTTCTAAAACTCTCTACAAAACCTATTTTGAAAAGAAAAAATGCTTTTATTTTATAGTTCATTCAATAGAGTGTAATGTTTTCTCTTGTTACGAACGATCATAACATTCTAGTCGAAATACTAGTAATGATACGATTAAGTGAGTTGTAAAATGTTCAATGTTAAATAATCCAGATTGGAAAGTAATAACAATATTTTTTTTGTTATTTTCTATTACATTATTCATAAAATTATAACAAACATCTCTAACTGAAATAGTAATCTTCTTCTTCTTGGGTTTGTATGCGTTGGGGGGGGGGAGGGGAAGGGGTATATTCTTATATGAGTAATATCTTCGATTATTTAATATTTTCACTTATTTGTTCTCTATTCTATTTGAACTACTGTTTTCTTGTTTATTATTTTTTTTAATAAAGCCAACTCAATTTACTTTTAATGCACAATTCTCATTAACTATTTGTTTTTGTGTGTAATAAAAAACAAACCGAAATTAGAAATTCCGCTTTTGATTTATTTATTTATTTGTTTTGGAGAAACGACTTAAAACTAGTCCCCTCCAAAAAAATAACCTATCGGAAGTTACCGATATCACAAAAAGATATGATCATTTTATTATTAATAATAATACCTTTGATGATTAGATTTTGATGCACAATATTACTAGGTAACAATAATAATAATAATAATAATAATAATAGCAATGATAATAGTGGAGTCCTATTGTGGGACTGTTCCGTGACAGTGTGTATCCACAATCCCACTCGCGCGATTCAAACTCAGCAACTACAGTCTCGTGCTTGAACGCTAAACCATAAAGCAGGCATCCAATAGTGTTAATGTCTAGCTTTAACCAATCCATGAAATTGCATGACCATCTTCCATTGTACTGAGATAGATACCTGTCTCTACCCGACACGGATTAGCTCCACTAGGAATAGTAATAATGCAACTATTTATTTCATTCCATTCTATACATATTGAAAATGATGCAAGGAGACTAAACATATTTTCATGATGAAGATTCAACAAAATGTTTTTTTAATAAATCTTTTATTTTTCAGTTCGATTGAGAATTCTGGTAGGCGGTCTATGCTTCTTCACAAAATGTAACAAGTTTAATAAAGTAAGTAAGTCAGTAATATATACGTATAATTATCAAAACAATAAGATAACTCTGAGTAAACATATTTCTTCCTCATTTGTTTCTCTGTATTATATAGTCATTTATATTTGTAATTAGAATTCACTATTTGAATTATTTATGAATGATGAACGTATATATATCCCACTATTTTGATAGATTTGCATAATAAATAGATACAAATTAATGTTATTAGTTTCTTCATAGTTTTAGTAAAACACTTATTATTATTATTAATGTTACTAATGACTACTACTAATCCTATTACTTACCTTGAGACACTGGGCTGAGGTATAGCAGGCATACTAGAATTAAGCTGCATTAACTCCTTCTGGCATCTTCCCCTAGAGAGTTTGTACAAAAAAAAAACAATAATATTTATACATTTCTGTATAGTAAAACGTCAAGCATGTTACCAAACAAACGTTACTATTGTTACTACTGTTGTAAGTAGTATATAAATATATATACATATATTATATGCATTCATTTGTATTGATGATATAAGAAAAAAGAACTTGTAAAACTGATACATCATATTTACTTATGTTAGTTTATGTGTATTATTTTGTCAGTTACCATGGTTACCAAGAGAAATATATTTTCTTTCATTTTATAAATTTTGTCTCATAATTTAGAGACTTGGTATATATATATATATATATATATATATATATATATATATATATATATATATATATATATAATAGTTTATTATTCCCAATAACAATAAATACAATAACTGTGATAATATAAATATTAGTGAAATTAATGAAATAATACTAATAAGGTCTATTATTGATTTTAGTAACTATGTTGTAAACTATTTTTTTTTGAGAAATGTATTGATTTGTTAACAAGTATACTGTAAAAGAGAACAGTATATATATATATATATATATATATATATATATATATATATATATATATATATTCACGGCATCTTTAACGGACTGAAAATAATCCCTATAAACTTATGTAATTCATTAATTTCATGTCTCAAAACGGTTGAATTCGTTATGTAATGAATAATTAGAATACAAAGTATAGTATTAATTCAATAATGAATTGTTAATATATTTTAATGTTATTGAAGATTAGGTTTATGAACAGTATTGACTTATTTTAATCTATTAATCAACCTCGATAAATTCCGCCTGGAGTCCCTCCGAGGAGAGAACAAACCAGATCCCAGCGGAGGAAGAAATTAAGAAGAAGAGCTGGAAGTGGATAGGACAAACATTGAAGAAAGCACCCAACTGTGTCACAAGACAAACTCTCACATGAAATCCATATGGTCAAAGGAGAACAAGAAGACCAAAGAACACATTAGGCCGGGAAATGGAGATAGACATGAGAAAAGTGAACAAGAATTGCATGGAACTAGAAAAGAAAGCCCAGGACAGAGTGGGTTGGAGAATGCTGGTCTGAGGCCTATGCTCCATTAGGAGTAACAGGCGTAAGTAAGTAAGTAAGTAACTCCGATCAGTTATTCAGTTAGTCAGAAAAATTTGAGATGGTGAAGAAAATTTGTAGTTGAGATCGATGATTTTGATGTAGTTTAGTTCTCTGAACTTGATGGTTTGGTCATGCAGCTCAAAGATCAAATGTTTGTCCTAAAGCTTTTCAAGATGTATAGAAAGTAATGTCTTAATGTTCTCTAACCAACTTGCTATTTAAGTTGATAGAACCTATAAGAACAAATTTTCTAATCAATATATCTCACTTAAATCATTTCGATGTATAAACCTGGCTATCATGTTAAGGTAACAATTACTATCAGTATTAATCAACATAGAATAAAATGAAAAAGATTACTCCAGAAATAGATTTTAATTTCTTTACAATCATAATGATTCACATATATTCTTGGTTAAAATTTCCTTAATTGGGTTTCATAATGAAGACGTTTTTCAAATAGAGTATTGTGTAACGTTTAAATTTATGTAAGACTGAGCTTTCTATATCTATATATCATTTTAATTAAATCTTAGACACAATAGAAATCAAGTCAATTTATGTAACAATGAATAGTTGCATTTTGGACTTTCATTAAAACGAATGTTACATTTTGTCTGAATAAATAAGATTGTTATAATAGAAATTTTAATTTAATTGGCCAATCCCTTCAATAGTAAATTCAATTAAATGATACAGTTATTATATTCCGATAAGCATAATAAATGGTAACTGTCGGGATTTATTTATGAACCAAATACCATACGTGATACTTTCATTGTATAATTGTTATGTAACTATTATTATTCATATGCATGTTCCTCTAATTATGAACTTTATTTTGACCTATGGACTATTATGATACCATTTACCATTCTTGAATTATGCTCTGTCTGTTAATTACAATCTCCCACATTCACAGCCATATTTGGCTAAATCTTCTACAAATATTATTTCCTATTTTATGGTACAATGTGGTCTGTTTGCTTTGTACATAAACCCAGTATGTTTGAAATAAATGATTCATATTGTAGAGGCTGAGATTAGTGTTCTAAATTCAACAAGCATGAGAGAAGGACCGATAAGTACTCTAGACTACTGATACGGGTTTTATGCATCATTAGTCTGATTGATAATTCACTATTCTCCAATTGGTGTTATCATCACGTTATACATTATTACGACACAGGGCACAAGTTCTAACAATAGTGTTTCAGATTATTGACAAAATGTTGGATTCATTCACATTAGTACAGTTTCATTGTCTAAACTATCAGATTAATATAATAATTAGACTTGCATTACAATATAAGGACATAAAATAAAAATATCCGATATATACACCATTTTGACATCTCAATGTGCTGTTGAATAACTTAGACCTAACTAAATAGTTTTTAACTTAACATATGTAAATCCAATAGTTTAACATTTGAAGTTAACCAATCAAAATCATGACTTGTAATGACGATTGATTCATAATAATGTTACCCGAAAAAGATCTATGATATATGCATATCATTTCTGGATTTCATTTAGACAAGTAATCAAATCTCAATTAATTGATCACTGGGTGGTGATCAATGTCATGTATGTCAAGTCCTTATTAGTGCAGATCGAATGCTATCGACCATGGTGCAATGTGGTCACCAGTCTAGGTGACTCGACACTGCGAGCACTATGTATTGAGATTTAGATGGTGGTTGGAGGTAGTCGACAGGAAACTCTGAACCCGGGTTTCACGCTACCTGGCACTCATCAGCAAGGTGTACCTATAATCTTGAAGATGGCACGAGATCAAGTTCATTATGGAGCATTAGTCCCCTCAAGATTAAAGTACACCTTGTTGACGAGTGCCAAGTAGCACGAAACCCGGGTTCAGGGTTTCCTGTCGACTACCTCCAACTACCATCTAATAGTAATAAGATCTTTCGAAGTTTTTTTTTGATGATTTATAACTACTACTGATATCATGTACTGGTCTATTTATTAAGGATAGATAATATTAAATTAAAGTTTTATAATAAACTCAAAAATGAAAGAGAAATAAAGTTCATTGGAAGCTTGTTTTTTCATACCGTTAAAACATAGAATATTATTATATAATATAAATCATATAACTTGAATCTTACGTAAATGTATAAAATTGACGACGTTTAAATAAACCACCATTAGCTTTGGATTCTTTGGCATCAACAGATCGATTTAACCTAAATGAAATAAAAGAATTTTTAATGAAAAGTTCTTTTGAATAAGTTATATTCAAAGCAAACAAACTCTATGAACTAACCAATTAAGATAAATATAAGTCTAGTTGGCTAACTAACCCTATGAAATACTCCATTTTGAAAAGTTGTCTATTTCTTCTTATTTAACTCACTTAAACATGACTAGTTGTATGGCTTTAGTGCCTATTCATGACTTCACATCTGGTAATCAAACTCAGGTTATTTGATCATATGTACGAACTTCTAACTTCCAGATCGAAAATCATACATCAAAACAAATACTCAATTACTTTTTAAATATACACATATATATATTCAATATGCAACATGATCGATAGTATTCGATCTGCACTCATAAGGACTAGACAAGCAAGACATTGATCACCACCCAGTGATCAATCAATTGTAATTACATCTCAGTCCTACAGGAGGTTAGTCACGGCTCGGATAGCTCAGTGGTAACGTCTCTGACTGTGAAGCTGGGTGACACGAGATCGAATCCGGCAGGGAGCACTAGTTCCCTCAAGATTACAAGTACACCTTGCTGACGAGTGCCAAGTAGCACAAAACCCGGGTCCAGGGTTTCCTGTTGACTACCTCCAACCACCATCTAAATATTCAAAATTCTAATATATATTTCACTTACGTGAAAAAACATTGACGATCAACCGCCCATTTCCATAATGCTTCAGCTGATTCTGGAGTTGGACATTTGAAACCAAGTGTATGTCGACGCTTTAAAATCATTGAATATATTTAAAATAACAGAAAAATTGATAAGACTATAAATTGTCGGTTTATCAGTGAAGTAAACAATTACTTTTGAAAGCTTAGATTACTTAATCTTTGAATATTTCAATCTATAATGTTTAGCGCCAGTCCTGTTGTCCGAACAATGAAAAGCGCATGATATGAATTCTTAACTTGACATAAAGAAAGCACTGACTTACATTCTAGAATAACCTCAAGAGGGTTAGGTACCCCATTGCTAAAAATTAGGATAGCCAATTCGCTCTATATTAAGCTTCTTTGAAAATGCCTATATTAAATAGTTTTTTGGCTGTACCACTAGAGAACATCGTCCTTAATTCACTTTGTCACTTACTAGGGTTTTATTTAACTCAGTTGTTTAATTACTGAAAATAAAATATAATTTTATTTGGAACATAAATGATGTTACTAAATAACTAGGAAAAACAAGGAAGCACTTGAAAGCTATTTAATCCAACAATCACACTCTTCAACAATGTATAAGCTTGACCCCATCAGAAGTGATTTGATTCAAGCAGTCAGATAAGGGAATGTTTAACCTTTGGACCGATGAGCCGACGTCATATGGTGTTACCGAATGACTTTTTATTGATTGTTTGATTTTTCACACTAAAGCTAACGCCTGCAATTGTTCAGTCTCTTATTGGTAAAAGTGCATCCTGACTTAATTTACAAGCTTTATGAGCAGAGATGGATCGCGTCTAGCAGTGGAATCCAGGACGCAAGTTTCTTCCTATTTGAGACTCGTCAACTGGATATATCTGCATCCCAGAATTGACGTTCACTACAGGACTCAAACCAAGTATCGTTCAATTCAAATGCCATCGCGCTATCTACTTAGCTACTGAGTCTAGATAGCTAGTAACCCGTATAATATGATAAATTTGAATTTGAATTCACATATACTGGCTGTTTGAAGCTTCCTATTGACTGGGATCGATCAGTCTTTCTCTCTCTAACCAGCTACTATCTATCTCTGTTTATAATGCTTATGACTTAATGAGAATATGGAAGCATCAGTATAATCGGATCTCACATCAAATCCTTAATCTTCAGATCACTGAGCCAACATCAAAGAGTGTATATATTTGACTGTGATTTGTTCAAAACACTCCATTAATATACTTTTAGATAACAATTTCAAAGTGTTTAAATTAATAAACGATATCATTATCTATAAATATCGGTTATTATATGAAATATCCTTTAACAGTGTACAAACCAATTAGCTTAAAGAAACAATCAAAGATATTATTAAAATGAGAACATACCTGTTCCCATTCCACTTGTATAATGAATAACTTCCCTTCATAACTTATTTTATTGATTTTTTGCCTATAGATAAATTATTAATTCATAGAATAGGTAAAATGTCAGTAAATGAATATACTGTAATTGACTAAACAAAAGATAATAAAACAAACAAAACATTTCACAGATTGAAATCATGAGTCAATTGAAGCTAGACCACCATGGAAAACCTGAAAGCACTGGACGGCCGTTTCGTCCTATTGTGGTACTCCTCAGCAGTGCGCATCCACGACCTCTCCTCCCTGCGAGATTCGAACCCAGTCGAACTCAGTCAAATTTTCGATAAACTTTTCACACACTCCATGTATATATTATTACTTTGGAATGCATATTCCACATTCATAAAGTGATTTTTTACTTAAAAAAGATTCTTTAATCGGTATATCAAATGTTTCGTAAATGTTCCTCACTTGAAACCTAGTAAACATTCACTTTGGAATAACAGGCAAAAAACTACTCTCATTGCATTCAATTACTTACTAGATTGATACACTTTACTAAAGAGACAACATAATACCATTAAATATACTTACATCAATAATCGATGAATATTAAGAAAAAATCTTCAGTGTATTTAATTTTAAAAACGTTGTACTTGATGTTTCTAATGAGGGAATAGTTATCCACACATAAATGTGACCTTAGAAGTTCGATCGAGTAAGTAAACTATCAATATCCATTCATCATATTAATGGGTGTTGCTTAAAGTCTTGGTAGAGATAATTGAATAATATTTATCAACGTAATATATTCTTTGTTTATAAAATTTGGTTGATTTTAAGCCACCTTTACAAAAATCATATTTATAAATAGAAAGTTAATATTTTATGATTAGTAACAACACGAATATCTCACTATTGTAGAATGTGGTTACTAAAACAATTACACATTTTTATGTACAGCCTAGTTCATATAAAAGAGTATATAAATGGTGGAGAAGATTTGTAGTTCAGGTGGATGATCTTGGTGGAGTTTTGTTCTCTGAGCTGGATGGTTTGGTCGTGGAGCTTTCAACAAGAACCAATCAACATCAAGGTGCACAGAACAAGCTGTGAAACACATACACACACTTCACTTCTATCTGAAGTTTGTGCTGATGATGTCATTCAGAAGAACGATGAGAGCTCCACGATCAAACCATCCAGCTCAGAGTACAAAACTCCACCAAAAGAATATATATACATCATCAACTACCAATTTGTTCAAATATTTAAAAATCATCTTACCAACTAAAAACATGTGCTTTTCTACTTCCTCTATACGTAATAACACCTTCATGATTTAATCCCATATAAAAGTGATTGCCTTTACGATCCTAGAAATATAAACAAAAGATAGAAAACAATATAATTATTATGGTTTTTATCAATGCTAAAATAATTATAGTAAATTCACTTGATATTGTTTACTTGGATCTTTCCATTGATGCTTATGACTGTAACAAGAGACTAACCAAATAACAATGGAAAGATACAAGTAAACAATATCAAGTGAATTATAACTTCACCCCATTGCACAAGCAGGTAGCTATCAGGACTCAGTAGTTAAGTGAACAGCGTGATGGCGTTTGAAGCGAAAGTTACAGGATTTAACTCTCACAGTGATCATCAACTCTGAGAAATGCAGATACATCCAGCTGTCGAACCCCAAATAGGACGAAACACTTGAAGCATTTAAGTCACATTGAGTATCTATGTAAATGTCTTAGAAGTTCTTCCATTTTACAGTTCAGCATTATTGATTATTATTTTAAAATACTAAAAATACCAATATGGTAGATTTGAACAGCATACATATAAGCAAACTATTTTGTTGACATCTACATCCTCTTCACGTTTTACGCTAAGATACAAGAATATTTTCATGCATATATAGGATTATTGAACTGATTAAGATTGTTTATGGGTAAGTGATAACGGTGGAATAAATTACATTACTAAACATAGTAAGTAAATATTATAAATTATTAGTATGATGATGGGTGTACTAGTTGTGGTAAGAATTAACATTTCGCAATAGGAAATAGATCAGTGACTCGGAAAAATACACACTGAAATAGTATTCATTAAGGATTATAGATTTGAGCAGATAGTTAGACAGTGAAGCGTATATGTGAAAAAGGTTGGGTGAAAAAAATAAACCAACAAAGTGTATGGAAAATAATAATAAATAAAATCGTTTGTTAACGTCGACTTGGCCAAAGGGGAAGATAAGGGTGTTACAAGTTATGTATGAACACATAGACAGATTGTTAACTCTAGTTGTTAGCTATAGAAGAGGTTGAACCTCGGGAAGATAGCTTGTAGGTTTACGATAAATCACACTAAATGATTTATTTCTATCTAGTACATTGCCGCTATCGATCAGGTGTGATAGAATAGAGCGGGGTATTGTTTTGATTATAACCCTCTCCAACTACGAAGAGAGGTGTTCACTAACTCTTTAGCACAGTTGTCTGAGTATATGCTCAATATAGCTTTTTCTACAGGGACAAGTGAATTTTCAGATATACATAGAAGTGGGAAAACAAGGTAACTGATCCTTTGAGGTCGGCTAGAAATCAGTAGACAGTGGCTAGCTGCATTAAACTTTCTCTTCATTGATAATAATTACATTTTTTATTATATTCCAATAACCAGAAAAATTGTACTTTTGACGTTTTGTAACTTAATATAAGCCACTTCTTCAGAGTAAATAAATAACCGAATCAAATACACAAAAGTTTGAGATTACGTCAACAATCTTGTACATACAAACCGGTAAATTTACAAAATATTGAGACTCAACCTTTGTAAAGTAAAAATATTATACTGTTCTTTGCATATGATTATTTATAGTTTCAACTGCTTAATTTAGCTGTCTTCATAGTTAAAGTCAGTCAATCTCATAGTACCTCTCTAGCTACATCTCCAGTAAATTGTAGCATTAGGAACAAAGTTTTCTTACTAACCGTTGATGTCACTATTTCCCTGTTCATTATAAACACGTGTTTCTTTAGAAGACCTTGTAAATAACACACTTCAATCAATATATTATGAATAAACTCTAGTTTCTAGTTAACGATGTCGTTTGAGCATATCTTCCTAACCCTACTTACAAAACATCTAACTAGGTTTTTCATGTTTTTTTCTTAAACATAAAAAAACACATCACTTTGTTAGGATCTAGTGTTGTCACTGGGACACTTGATTGCTTATCAGCAGGTTAGTAATCTTACTTATTTGAGAAACAATAACAAATCTTATGAAATATCTGAATTATTTCAGAATGTTATTTTGACAATTGATAACTGATAAACTGACAATATATTCTCTTCCTTATTTAAAAACATTTATAGATCAAAATCTTGCACTACTTTACTTTACAAGTAATAAAAATGACAAATAATAAATGAATAAAGCTGATTTTCTGCAATTTTATAGAAGTATTAATACATTGAATAAGCATATATTGACCGTGTGTGTTTATAGCTCTAATCAAAATTGATGAACGAAACTTTAATGCAGAAGTCAAAAAAAAAGTGATTTGTCGAAGCTTCATAGATAGATGTCATCATTCTAGAGTTACCCATTGACATAACAAAAGAATTGATAATTTGTATACTCGTCATTTCATTACTTTTCTAAATTCATGTAGTGGTGCTTGCTACTTATATTGAAATAAGTGGTATATGACGCGAGTCAGGGATGTAATGTCTGGCAGCAGAAGATTGGGAAGATCAAGAAAGAAAGAACGGGAATAGAAAGCAATTAGTATGGAAATGCAAGAACAAGGAAGTCCGAGACAATTATTGAACATTTTGCAATTTAAGTATTATAGTATGATTTTTCTATTTTACCATGTAACTCTGTAATTTGGTGTTATATATAAATCGATTGTTCCCATCCGTGTTCTGTTCACTACAATGTGATCATTCCTTTTAACTAAGTTTTCAACCTTTCTATTAGATATGAAAACTAATATACTAATTACAATCTGGTTATCAGTACACTTGTATCATGGTCAATTAATGAAAGAAAATATTTATGAGGAAAACCAAAGAATATTACTTAAAACTTTATGGATAAATTAGTTTTATAACAAAACAAAATATTCGCCACATATTGTTCAAGTTAAATTGAAACCTGTATGGAATTAGTTCTTTTCACCTAATTCATTTCTAATGAATAAACTCAATGATATTGACATGATAGAATGATTTAATGTTACATTACTACTCTGTGTCTGAACTACATATTAAAAAATTCTGTTTCTTTTTTTCAAATCATTTAAGTAGGCCTCATACACACCTTTCCACTGTTCATTTCCTTTTTTGGACATAATTTATAATTAGATTTCATTACTGAATAGTGATACTTTTTTATTACTCAATGTAATGAGTGATAATGTTGATTAAGATCAAATGTAAAATTTATGATGATATTTAAATGAAGTAGAAGATACACTAACAATTTAATAAACAGACATAAAACATTGAGTGACATTCTAAGTTTACTGACGATTATCATTTCCCAATTGCTTATATCATAGAAGAATCAATATGAGACTAAAAACTGCATTGATAAAAACATATCCTGCAGCTAAATTGATTGTCCTGTCCAAAACGACATGTTCTTTGACACAATCGAAGGTCGACAGGTATCCCTTTCATGTTACCACCAACTGTGTATACAAATTTACATGTATCTACCAAAGCAGTTACATTGGTAGAACAGAAAGGAGAGCCTACGTCCGATTCAAAGAACATATTCCGAAGAGTTTGAGATCAAACGGACTAAAAGCATTTAGCAGAGCTGTTGCAAGACATTTCTTTGACCTTTTGAAATTCGCCGAAGCAATAGCAATTAAACGTTTAAAACCAAATCTTTGTATACAAAAAGAAACAGTAATAAATCTTTCTTTGCCCTGGTAACATTCACCCAATCCCCTTTTACTATTATTTTTATTACGTCATTCTAACTCTTTCTGAATTTTATAATTATATCATTCATAAATGACCAATTTCAATTCATATCTCTCTTTATTAACATTAATCTATTTTCAGTTATTTCATTACATAATCGTCTAATGTGTTTTAATTCCATGATTTCTAATCACTATCACAATTTTTTGGAACTTTCCCTCCCAAACTCTATATATTCGAAACAAAAACTTTTATGACCTCACTAACTCTAACGAAATCTTTGCTACATTATGTTGCATATATTCATCCTTCATCGCCCTCTGTTGTATAAGTATGTCAATATCTGTAATAATGTTGAATTTCAAATATTTTAGGTTGTAAGCAGCTGATGAGAACTTGACGAAATAAAATGAATTCATAGATTATTCTGCATCAATCTTTGTTCTTGCTCTTTTTAAAATTATATATCAATTTATTCTAAGGAAATTTCACTGATTGAAATCATGAGTCAATTGAATCTAGATCATTCATGGAAAACCTGAAAGCACTGAATGGCCATTTCGTCCTAGTATGAAACTTATCAGCAGTGCGTATGATTTCAACCAATGAAATTTTCAAAATTCTCCACAAAAAACCCCTTTTGATATTCTAGGAAAAGATTAATTTTACAGTCCATTTAGTTTTAGTAATTATAATCGAATTTCTCATCAGGTTCTACAATTATAAATCCAGATTAATAATCCATAAAATTGGCCAGATTTAAGGCAAAATACATCATTTAGAAATTGCAATATGTGAATCAGGAATTGTTTGTTATATAAAATGAAATCGTTAATGTTGGGGCTGACTAATATGAAGTGTTAACTTGAATCAGTTTATAAGCGAAATGAAATTGTGAGATAAATCATGATCAGAATAAATATGGTCAACATGGGGTAAGAGAGAGAGAGAGAGAGAAAATTGCGATTACTAATCGGAAATTGCGTAATATGTAAAATAATTAGGTCAAATATAGTAGATTCAGGGGTGGATATTCAATAAATTCATCAAAAAGGGGGTTATCAAGTGTAAAGACAATAATAATAATAATAATAATAACAGTAATAATAATAATAATAATAATAACAGTAATAATAATAAGTTTGGGACATAAAATGAACATTAATCAGATTACGTCACCATATTTTAAGATTGATTATTAGCTAGTTGGCCAGGGTAAAAGGAGTGGCTGAACATACTTCTTTTGGATACAAAGCTCTGGCTTTTTGATCCGAATAGCAATTGCTTCAGCCATCTGTAGGATTCGCAGTCTGACGGAATTAGGTAGACTGTTGTTGACACGGTAAAGTATTGCAAAAGATTGCTCGATGTTGGCTGTATGTCCTGTTTGGACTAAATGGTCTAAGATTGAG